CCGGCTAGTTGGTCGTCGATTTCCACTACGATACATGTTTAGTCATCACACACGCCATTATACTAATTAAAATAGTAAGAAGTAATTCGGATTACAATATTCATTGAGTAACAATGACCTATAACATACCGGTACAGAGGCGAGAGCAACATTTAAATAGGCATTTTAAGTATACGGTAATTAAAACAATAATTTAAAACATACGGCTGGGGGGTCGAGTATTTTTTTGGGGCGTGCGTAGATACGCCACTGGGTAGGGCCTACATATATATCACACTATCCGCTCAGGCTTTATTTTGTAAAGGCTTCTCGTAGGATGAACAATGGGTATTGAATAGAGACTAACATACTTATATTGCATTATGAACGAATGAGGTCTCCAAATGACCTATTTACCATATTGTAGAATATGAATATGGTGTTGGGCCTAAAAGGTAAACTACAGTTTAAAATTGTTAAATAACATCTTACAGAGAAAATAATGATAAAGAAGCGTTCCTGATCCAAACTTACTTTAATGTGAAGTTAAGATTGCGATGGAATGAAAGTCGGTCACACATAACCGTAATCTTATCGCAAAAACGTCTTCAACAATTTTTCAACATGGGCTTCAATAATCAATAGATTGTGGAATAAGGCTACAGCTCAGCATTTTCAAAATTTGAATATAGATCTAATTACACGAATTTGATAGCTTAAGAGAAGGACGAATATAACATCTAAAGTGTATTAAAAAGACTACGAGGGTTACAACGTTAATGAGTTGTCAGTTGAAGAACTCTTCAATATAAAACATATTCCGCCAAATCCATTAACAAAAGCGAACATCTAACTACGGTTGCCAAGATACGAACGTCAACATTGATTTGACGAAAATTGCTGCTGATAGTTTAAGCGTTTTGCTCGTACTCTTTATTCTTTATTTTGTATAAATTCGAGTTTACTGACTAGGTTTTATAAAGTTCTGCCTCTTAGCAGTTCTTTTATATGTTTCGTTACTTTCAACAATTTGATCATCTGCGGCACTCGGTAGCGGATATCTTGAAAACAAATCCGCTTTCGCCTCTTCATACTGAAACTTGCCATTCTCAATGAAGCTTGCTCTCCGTTTCATCAGCAGTCTGAATTCTTTTGCTTTAACCAATTCCGCAAAATGTCTAATGTTTAACTTTGGTTTTGAATCAATACCTCTCGGCGGAGGTGCCATTTCGGCAATTTGAGACAGGTTGGCTTTTACTAACAACCAACCCCTTGACATCGGTACTTTAGGCTTTTTCCTTTCTGTGTTTTTATTTTGATTTTCTTCCATTGTCTCCAAGTTTTCCACTGACAGTTTAAACTGACTAACTCTGATGGAGTGAGCGCGGACAAATGCATTTTTCACTTTAAACTTGGTCTTTAGACTGTTCCATCTTTTCCGCGATGTTTTCTTAACTGCGTCTATTGTTTCATAATTATTATTGATATCATTCTCTCCGTTGATTTGTCCTATAACTAGTGAGTATTCTTTGCTACTAGGTAGCACAGAGTCCATACTACGTCCTCTTAACCTCGCTAGTTCAGTAGCATCAAAATGTTTAGCTGCAAATAAATTATCCATTTGTTGCGTTGTATATTCCAAAACAGTGTGTACATCGAGACCCGTATGACTTTGGCGGGTGCTGGCGCTAGTTGGAGAAAGTCTAGACTCCGCTGCTTCAAACGAATCACTTTGCAATCTTTTCGTTTGATTTGAACCACGTCTGCTACTCGCCCAGGCATCTGATACATGTTCATGTTTGTTTTCAATTGTCGGTAAAACGGTTTCTAAAGGCTTTATTGGTAAATCAGTAGATGCAAATTTGTTAACTGGTCTTACACGACTAGAGCGTTTAGAGCTAATCTTCTCGGAAGTAGGCCTACTAGGTCTATCCTTAAATTTAAATGAACAAGTGCTATTGGTTTCGGAGCTCTCAACACTTGACTCATCCCATCCCTGCTTCACTCCTACAGATTGCTGTTTAGAGAAGCGACTCCTGATCCAAGATCGTCCTTTCGCGCTATCAGAACTAGATTTACTGCAATCAAACCCCGAGCTTTGAGAATCTGTGTCAGTATTTCTCTCCGACTTGTACGGTATCGTGAACCGTCTACTAAATAACGGAACCACCGGGTCGTCAATCCGATTAATTCTGGTGTGGGTAATTTTTGGCTCAGTAACTGAGCGTCTCAAAATTAACGTTTTACTGCGTTGTTTTGGATTGCACAATTCCTCATTTCTCTCCGTCATCTTTCATGTCAATGATGCTCTCTAAATATTTTGTTTATGCATACAGTTCACCGCTTCCTCAATGTCTACAATTGCCTAATTAACATTTCAATTAATGAATGCGAACTAAAACGCTGATCGTCAGCTCACAGTAGTCTCTGGTTTGGTATATTTTCAAATCTTTCGAGGCTTAGTCATGTAATTTTCAGATGAAAGTTCATTCATTACCCGAATCAGCAGTTTAATTTCTCTCTGCATTCATCTGACAATTGCGCGAAACCGATTTAGGCCTACCGACTCTTCCTAAGCTGTAAATGAATATCTTGAACACATAAATCGACAGTAAGAATAGGTAATTGCTCTTCTGTACCCCTGTATCCCATTTGTACTGAGAAGACGGTTAAGTTGAGGGTACTGTAACGGACAAAAACTACACTTTTTAGAACGTTGTTTCCGTGCACTGAACTCAAATATTAATAGCCCCATAAAAACAAGTAATGTCGTAGTCCGTCAAATCAGCGTTCGCCTTCTGTTTCATGCTACATGGCCAAACATTACATAACGTATGTAATAATACTGTCAAACGATTCGTATCGGTATTGAACGCTACGTTGCTGTCTGGGATATTAAACCATTTAACTACTATTTGCTAAACACTAGAGGACGGTAGACCGTTGTATTGCTCATGGTTCATTGGTCATTTTTAAAAACTCTTCTCTAAAAATAACAAGGAAGTCTGGAATGCCATGAGCAATCTCATAAGAATAGGCTACGTTTCCTAATCGATAAAATTTAAATAATAATGAATTGGAGGACAAATTGGATTAAACTGCATAATAATATCAAAGATGATGATTATGATTATGATGATGACGATAATAATGACAATGATAAAAAAATTGATCAAGTTCCATTGGTTTTCAAAACAATTAGGGCATATGACCATATTCTTCAGTGGTGAAACCGTACAAATTTTGAATTTGAAGGTGACAGTCTCCTCAGCGGTGGCACCAGCATGGAGGCTGTCTCTTATACACATCTAGATGTGTATAAGAGACAGGTGTGTACATCGAGACCCGTATGACTTTGGCGGGTGCTGGCGCTAGTTGGAGAAAGTCTAGACTCCGCTGCTTCAAACGAATCACTTTGCAATCTTTTCGTTTGATTTGAACCACGTCTGCTACTCGCCCAGGCATCTGATACATGTTCATGTTTGTTTTCAATTGTCGGTAAAACGGTTTCCCTATCCACGTTATTTTGATTGCTACTAATATCGTGGTCTAAAAGCACATTTTGGATCATACTAAGCCATAAAACCTTTCCCCATGAATTCTATCAAATGATTTTTTTTTTAATTCCAGGTCGTCGACCAAAGCTTCTTCGACCCTTCGGTTCAGACCCGACCGACGGACACATCGGACCCCTCGTGGGCAAATTTCTGACGTCACCGCTGAGTCCCCTGCGAAGAGCAGCAAACATTTGATGGTGGTGATGATGATAATGTAATAATGATAATTAAATAATGATGATGATGATGATTACAGCACAGTATTCCATAACCATGAACGCGTAAGTAATGAGGGCGTAAGTAATAATCACTGAGTTTAAATAATTTCCACTTTTGTAGGTAGGATAAGGGTATGAATAAACCCTGCTTTATTGATAGCGTATATGTTATCATTAAGGTTTGAACAATATATGTTGCTACTGATAACGGAATATCGTATAATAGATTGCGAACAGCATGCTGACTGCCAGTACGTCCGGCCTAGCTTCTTGTTCATACAGTGTCATTTTACGACAGGGTCTGAATTGAATCAGAGCATCGGGATACCCCTCTCTGACTACGCACAAGCCATTTTTGTGTACTGGCCTTGTCCGAGAAGACTTTATTCTACCATTGAATAAATGTAAAGAGGATCTCAAACAATGCCGTAGGCAAGATTTTCAAACAGTGCGGGACAATATCAGGGTGGACACACTTTACGCGTAAATTCAAATAATGTGGACCCAGTTTCTTAATAGTTGACCCATTTTACGCAAAAATATGAAAAATCTGGACCCATTTTCTTAAATTTTTACACATTTTAGGCTAAATATGAGAAATCTGGACCCATTTTTCATAAAATGGTCTCGCTTATGCATAAAATTGTATAATTTGGAGCTATTTTTTAAAAATGTGGACACATTCTTTGTTAACCCATTAAATAAATTGTGTAGGACTGTCCCAATAGCTGTCTACGACATTGATCTCGAACCAGCGCTAACCTTACCTCTCGGCCACTCGACTCAGACTCACCCACTGTATAAACAGTGGTGACTCCTCAAAAATACGCCAAAATTAGTTTATTTTGGTGAAAATTGCCACAACACGATAGTATCAAAAGTGATATATGGTTGGATCGTCAAATTATTTTAGTCCGTCTGACGTCTTCAATTGGCGTCCGGTCCGGTGACTGAGGGCCCATGATGGGCCCGACTGGAGGAATTTTTTTTGACCTCACAAGTATCGCCACTGTGTTTAAACTTGTGACCCTGTTTTGCTGCAACCGAACTTCCTTGAATTACCCCTTCTTCGTAACACTTGTAAAATGTATGTTAGCCTAGATCTCACCAGCCGCATTATTATACATCCCTGTTTTACCAAACGTAGTCTCGGTGCTCCATCATCACCATTCTTTTCCATCTCTACTCGTCACTTGTTCCGTCTGTAACAAGAATGACCTTTCTAATAATTAATAAGAAGTTACAAGGAAAAGCGAGGCTGGCTCGAGTGTCCCTAATGCGTCACAGCGAGTTTGACTGTACAGTCATTTTTTTTTCTCCAGAAAGCATGCAGTTTAGGCCTATATATAGTCCAAACAACCCTCTAAAGTTGGGTAAGTATAGGCCTACTTCGTTTTGTAACCGAGAATAATTAGGCCTATATTTTCTTGTGAATGTTCCTGTTCAAACATATCTCTCTATTTTGAACTTTTATGGAGACTTTTATTATCTTTTTTTTTTAATGGCTGCAAGCTGCAAGGAAGCGGATTACTATACATTTTGTAGCACTCAACCTAACTTTAGTAGCCTATCGGTATAATGCATTCCGTACAAAGTTATTAGCATCGTTTGACATTCAAAGTTGCTAAGTTTGCAAATTAAAATAATGCAAAACTACGCCGTATTTAAATATAAATTTATAATTTACAACATTAATTCAAAATGTCCTTGATTGAACTATTAGGCCTAGTAGGTTATTATCGACGACGATTATGAATACACATATCAACAATTATGCATACCGTATGAATATCCTGAAGACCCATATATGGTCAATATCTAAATTTATTTATTAAGGTAGTTATTGTTTTAAGGACACTAACATTATTAAAAAGAATACAGTCGCCATGGCATTGATGGCATGTAGACCTTGAAGTAAAATCGAATGACATACATTGTGTACAGGCCTCCGCATTGGTACCGTATTGCGTTAAAAAAAACTAAATGCTGATCGTGATTAATGTCATATGATAACAACATAGGTTGCCATAACGAAATAGACGATTAACATATATAGGAAATGCTGATAGAGCTACCGAACGGTAAACAATATCTTCGATTCGATAGAATGATAGGTTATTAAATAACACATTAAAATTTATTATGGCACAAAACAAAGTTCCAAGTACATGCTTTATGAATTTACAAAACATAATAGGGAGATTTCGCAAGCTTACCATAACGAATACGAATACGTCATTTTCATTATTGTTATTCTTGCCTTAAATATTCTTTACAATACATATACGAGCTGATTCTGATCAGTGATTCATGTAAAAGGAAGGTTTATCCTACGTAACGATAATGCTATGTTAGTTCGGATGGTTTGACTAAAAAATTGATTCGTTATCATTTTCGTAAACTTGCGAAACATCCCTAATGTAACAAGTAGTCTAAACGGATTATGCGAGTTACCAAAGAACATTAACCAATATATTTCTGTTTTTTTTAATAGGCTTATGTATGAGTTAGGCCTGTTGGTGTCTTTATTTTTATCATTTAACTATAGCTTTGTTTAGCATGTTTATTTTCGTAGGCCTACGTTTTTTACATAATCACAAGGTTTAGTATTATGGAAAGTGACTGTTGATACACAAACCTAGAGGTCACGTGCAATAATATTAGAGTTTTCTATAAATCAAACATTCACTTTATTCAATTCGAATAAGTTGTTTTTTTCGCTCAGCAAGTATCTGCTAATGTGATATTTAGGCCTATAGGTCTATATATGTAAGGCTAATATTAACATTTATTTGAACCAATTAAATATAAAAAAAGTGTTGTCAGTCAAAATATTCTTATTTATGAAGTAAATCAAGTTAGTACTAACTCTCATCATTTTTAGGGGTAAACCGTTTATCTTTGTGTGTGTCACAATAAGCATACATTATTTTGCTTATGCACCAAAATAACTGCTTTATTGAAACATTTTCGTTCAGTCATATATATCTGTCTCTTATACCCATCTAGATGTGTATAAGAGACAGCGGTAAGGCCTATCTTCAGAATCATTTCATACAAAAACGTCATTATAACATTATCGAACTTTTTGAACGTTGTAGTTTGGATATGTCATAATACACTTTTTAATACCGTTCATACCGCAGTATAGTAATATACAGCTGTACAATAATAATTTTCTATATTTGAAAGGTATGTAAAGATTAGAACAAAATAAGAACATTTTGAGTCTGAAATCGACAAAAAGATAAGAACACTGAGCCTGGGCAAAATTTTACTGGTTCTTATAACTCGCCACTGAGGAAGGACTAGTGTTGTCCGAAAGCTCTGGTTCTATTTCTGGCTGTTTACTTACGTTTCTTTTTAGCTGTTGCTTATCATTTTTGTATCTCTACTGAGATCCAGCCATTGTTTCCCAGAGCATTGTTGTTTTCCAGTATTTTGCCTTTTAAATCGGCTGGAGATGTAGGTCATATCAGGGAAAAATATTACATTACGTCATCATATGAGAGATCATTTTATTGTAGGCCTATTCAAGTTAGTATACGCGTGTATTTGCCGCGACTTATCCTGGATTATGAACTTAACTGCAGTAACTTTTAGTTTTCGAAAGATTCTGTCCTTTTTTTTTCTTGAACGTGATCATCTCTATTGTATGTACATCCATATAGTTTATGATCAAACTCTTAAACTCGTCTGTCATTGCGATCAATCTTTCTTTAGGGGTGAAAGTTCGAACTGATGACCTTTACAGTATCCGAAGCTGGATTCGCAAGTGTACTTGACCTGCAGCGTTCAAACAGTGAGCTAGTCTGATATTGATTGCTAGAAGCTGGGCTAAGGCTACCACCCGGAGCTAAGCTGAGCAGTACCGTACTCGAGGAATGTCGACAGCCGGGAGTAAAGTACCAAAACCCGCCAACTGGTATTTATGTGCTTGCTATATTGGCCTAGACTTTATCGAGTCTATGTTCGTAATTTCCTGTTGTATTTTTCTGTTTATATTTGCATACCACTCTGCTTTTAATACTTTTCCATCATATTCTACATCGTTCCGATCATGCCAGCGTAATGTTTTGTTGTGTCTTATTTTGTAAATAATGACTGGTTGTGTATTCTATCCCGGTCTATATGCAATTTTATACTAATTCTACTATGTGTATAATAAGATAATATAATAAGGAATGTCAGCCGTAATTTTTCGTCATTCATTTAAATGCCACTATATTAAAAAGAATTGATAGTAATAATAATAATAATAATGATAACAATAATAATAATAATAATAATAATAATAATAATACAACGGCAACGCGAAATGTGACAATATTTTATTTATCATTGTAAGGTGCGATCGTTGTTATTAATTCCGCCATCTTTGTGACATAATTACCCTAATAATCTGGAACTTCCGTCAAAACAGTCCAACTTCCTGTTGAACTTATCTGAAACTTGCATGGTTTTTGAAATTCACTTTCTGAAAATGTTTCAAAACATCTGCTTGCAATGTTCAGGTATTGCCCATGGGAAGAAAACAGTTTTCGGTGAATTCACAATACGAAATTTGTTAAAGTGATAGGCCTAGTCCCAGTTTCCATATGTACCGTATCAATAATTATGTTTGTTCAGACAACCAGAATGACGGATCTGTCTAGCTAGTGATCGATGGGGGTTTGAAGAATTCCATAGGATTTCATTTGACCAAAGATCCTTATGACGAGACACATTAATAATCGGTCCCTACGAATATATTAAAATTTTCTAAATGACATCTGCAAGGCAAATGGATGATGATGAGGATGATGATGAAATGATAATACCTAAAACCTAAAAAGATGTGGCGCTACGCATGTTCTGTTAAAATTAAAAAGAAGGTGCTTTGGCCTTTGGGACGGTGTTTTATGTCTCTATCCTAAAGTATAGTGCCCCCAAATACATCCACTGTTACCATTATGTTATGTGAGTAATTTTAATTTTTTTTTTCTATTTTGCAGTTTGTGATGCGGGTCAGACCCTTCACGTTTTTCCTTCTGATAATTGTTTTATTAACCGTACTCAATATCATTTTCGTTTACGAGAGCACGAAGAATGCGACCTCTGTTGTTCACACTTACGAACATGGACGAATGTTGGCGGAAAACATTTTTGAGTCAAGAGACGCCAGCAATGTACTGTGGTTTCCAAACGAAACGAAACATTTTAACAAAATATTTCGTAGTAACGTTTTGAATGAAACCAGCGACGCACATATAGACTTCTGGCAACGCGGTAACGACTTATTGAATGATACGAAATACATTCCAGCGGGCAAAAAAGAAAGTATAAACCTCACCTTCCAAGATCTGTACGAGCAACTCGTAAGTAAATCTCGTCGGAAAAAAAATCACAAAAATAACTCAATGTTATCTCATCCTGGGATTTCGTTGACCTCAAGAGAAATACATTTGTTAAACGAGAATAAATCTTCATCGTTGAAAGATAAATCGAAGTCTTCTACTGCATATTCAACTTCAATTTCGCTTAATGAAACTTACGTTACAGACCTTATAAAGAAGACTGTTAAATGGTACTTTGAAATTGATGAAAATCAGGTTGGTACTTTTATGTTTCGATTTTGCATCAGGAAAATATCATAGGAGTGATGTGTTTCCCTATCTGACGTTCCCAAATATTTGCAAATTCAGAAGTGATTCAACTGGAAATCGAACCCACGACATCCAGATAACTAGCCTAGTGAATAATGTTGAATCCGACACTGCAAACTCTATCTCAATGTGAGTTTGCGTCAGGAAAATATCATAAAAAATCACTCCTATGATATTTTATGTAAGTTTTATATTACCATGCATATCACTTGCTTCATGGCTTTAAGCTTTAATATATTTCGTATTATTTCGTCTGCTTATTAAAACGTGTAATTAGGCTAAACTATCAATTTCCTGAGGCGGGATTGGATTTTTCTAAATAAAATACTAATGACCGTTACAAAATATCTAAAAATAAAATATAAGGTACACATTTTAGTTTTTGACTGGCCTTTATCTTCTAGGAATACAATCACCATTGCCGGCGATGCGCTCTCGTAACGAGTTCAGGACGCTTGCTCAACCAAAGTGTCGGGGCCGACATTGATTCTGCCGACTGTGTCATCCGTATGAACGATGCTCCCGTGGTCGGATTCGAAAAAGACGTCGGACTGCGAACGGATATACGGGTCATGGGTCATCCAAATTTATCTATATTAAAAAAGAACCCAGAAAATATTTTAGAAATGTTTTACAAAAACACAACGAGGACTAAATTTCTTCTAATACCTTGGCTATACAACACAACTGTAAATAAAACAACCGATATGTATTATGCCATTTTACGAAATTTAACGGAAATGTTCCCGGATGTGAAGTTTTATGTTCCATCACAAAAAGCAATGGATGCCGCTGAGACAATTTTCGAATTTGAAATCGGAATCAAAAGGTGAAAGAGTTTAAAACGAATTTTTGACTGTGTTTACACGTGCTGTACGTTATTTGTTTGTGGAGATTGATGATGGCACTCGTCATGATTTGCATTTGTCCTATAATGCACCACATTCGATTTACCTCGTCCGTATGAAAAGGACGTTAAGATTTTGGCTCCGTGTGCGTTTACCCAATTCATTGTATTGCCGCATGAATATTATATAAGTTGTTCAGTATTTGTATTTTTTATGTAAAACATATTTATACAGGATAGAATTTCAGACAAGATGTAATAGTCTGTTTTTAAAAATGGTCCTTTTAAGACAATTACCATAAGATATAAACACGAATATAATAAGAATAGTTAACAGTACAAACATCAAAAAACTCTTAAAAACATCTCAAAATTTGGTTTGCAAATAATCCAAAATGCATTTGGTGTAATCAATTAAAATCACGAAATTACATAAGAGAATGAAAAAAATACCAAAGCGAATATCAATCACATCCAAAAAATAGATTGTGACACACTTAAAATCAAATCTTTTTAATCTTAAGTTATAAGTTAGTAAAAAGGAATTTATTATACCTAAATTTTAAACTGTTTATATTGTTGATTTTTGAATGGAAGGTGTGTATTATTCCACACATCAGCAATTCTGAAATAAGTTTCCATGGATCTATAGTTTGGAGTTGTTGGGGAAACATTTAAAATATTTAAAGATCTAGTAAAGTATCCATGTCGATCAAATGTCATTTCCAACTCAAAGTCATTACATAAGCGTAGGCCTAATGGTTCTATGCCACGTATACACTTCATCATTGATGCAAGGGCATATCCACGTCTTTCCTCGAATAACTGCCAAATCAAGTGTTTAATCAAATCTTCACCACGATAATTAATGTAATCAAAATTATTAAAAACAATTCCTGCAGTTCTTTTTTTAAAGTCTCGCAATATTTTATTTTTTATTTTATTTTTATTGGATTATTTCCCCTGAAATTGCTTAATCAATGCAAGGTTGAATTGTCCTTTTGTTAGATATTTATTTAGAGTTTCTGCCAATATTCTTAATGTACCGTACAGATTTATTTTTATTTGGAATGTGGTATGGTCATCAATTTCAACTCTATGTCTCATGTGTTTAACTTGTTCAAATTCCATCGACATAGGCATATATAGTCTTGCGTTAAAACTATTTATTTCAATAAAAATGAATTACTTTAGTCACTAACGTTCTGAACATACACCGTCATTGGTAAGAGAGTATGTCACGAAATGTTTTCATTACGGTATGTGTCTTGTAATATTCCTTTTGACCTTTTGAAGTTATATATATA